GTTATCATCTTATAAATGACCTTGCCAGGTTTTTTTTTTTTTTTTTTTTTTTTTTGCATGTGCATAATTTTAGCAGCCTATAATGGGATGCTTTGAGTCGAGGGACTGTAATTATGTTAATAAGAGTAACCAGGCAAGATCTGCTCATTTCAGTGATGGACACACTTTCCTGTTGCTAGAATATTGTATATTCACAATAATAGAATAGAATAGAATAGAATAGAATAGAATAGGAATGTGCTGTAAGCGACATGTTTTGGAATAGCACACATACCACCTGTCAGATATCAGTGAAATATTGCAGGTGTAAGGAGAACCACACCTGCGTCTGTGGCACAACTATGCACTATCATTTTGTTTCACTGGAGTTAGTAAGTTTGATTAATTTCTGAGAATCAGATCAAATAGTCAGTTTTAAAGAATTTAAAACACTGATTTGTTTGTGCCCTACGGTGGCCGAGAGAGCTCAACGCGCTGCAAATGAAAAAAAAACACCTGCAAATTCAGAAAACATCTTTATCAATTTGACAACACATGCGCCGCAAATTTTCACAACACAAACAAATACAGAAACACGCAAGTATACAGACTACAACAAGCAGGATTCTACATTCTACATGTGCAAACTGTTTTTGTTTGTGTTGTGAGAATTTGCAGCACATGTGTTGTCAAATTGATAAAGATGTTTTCTGAATTTGCAGGTGTTTTTTTTTCATTTGCAGCGCGTTGAGCTCTCTCGGCCACCGTAGTGCCATCACTCAACAATGTTAAAGTATTTTAATATAGATGTCAAACTGATTAAATTAATTCAGAATAAATACAATTATTTACTGTATACACACTACCATTCAAAAGTTTGGGGTCAGTTTTTTCTTTTTTTGGTAACACTCAAAGCCCTTACATAATGCATTACAGAAGTTCTAATGCATTAATTATGCCTTGTAATGCACGTTATAATGCATTTAATAATTATAAGCACAGTTGTAATACATAATAATACTTATCTATTCATGGCTTTAAAATACATTGGCATTAAAATACATGACAACAAACCTTCAAATATTATAATACATTTTAAATTTGGGTATAAATATTTA